TCCAAAAGGTAGAGAGTGCTAACTTTCACCTGCACTGCCCATAATACACCTGGAAGCAAATAGTCAACTATTTTACATGTATTTTTCTTGATTTGAAAACAACAGCAGCCTAGGTGAAGGTGTGATATTAGAACTAGAAGCCATCATGCCTGGAGAAGGTGACCTGTTGATTCTGAAGTACATTGGCTACTTATGGAATTAAATTCTAAAATTAAGTTCTCCAGGAATAACTGGGAACTATAATCATGATACATGTTTATAGTAGGATCTAAATAAGGAGTGGATATGGCATGCGTCTGTTTGTACTGTTAGAATTTTAGTACTCTTCCTGACACACTCTTGTCCTTTGCCAACTAACACTCTCCCACATCATGCCCAAGCATAGTTCTGGGGTTAGTATAGACAGTGGACCATTTCCAAAAGCTGTTTGGATCTGACCGGGCTGTTCTGGAGGGACAGGATTTTAATTGTACAGCCACAAGCTGTACCATGCTAGCTGTGCCAAGCTCCAAGCATGGCTATTTGCCCTGCTCTGATTTATTTTCTGTTATATTTGCAGCCACAGATCCTGCTTTTCAGGAAGGTGGGATTTGGGAACTCCTGCAATGGCAGGAGTTTCTGCAAAGAAATAAAATCAGTCAAATCTGAAGCTGAGAATCTGTCTAAAGCTGGAAAAATAATCCACAGCAACCTTAAATCTTAGAATAATTGAGTTTTGTATTGTTTGTATGAGAAAAGCCTGAGAGAACGAACAGGTAATGAGTCATTTTGAAAGTTATATTTAGAAAAAATATATATATGAAAAATAATGGTCTGGCATTTTAAATCAAAATGAGTAAATTAAATGTAGCCAGATGGCACTTGCAGTGTCCTCTGACCAGAGGACATATATCCTGATAATAGTGTGAAACTTATCCCTTTCCTAAGCTTTGCCTTCTCTTAACCAAAGTAGTAGTAACAATTTGCTAATACTAACCTGAGTTTGAACGATTTAAGTTTTCCCAGGGCAATCTGTCTCAAGAAAATGTCTCAACTCTTTTTAATTGTCTGATTGCCTCTTGTCAAGTAGATGTAAGTCTAACTTTATATTTTGCAAGGACTAGTGAGTTGATTTCTTTATTTTTATTATTTTTTTAAGCAGCATTAAAGCTATTAGCAACCTAATGTCTTAACAAAGTCTGGCCCCAATGACAACTTATGGGTTGCATGTAGTCTGTGGTGTGCTTCTATCTCCCGTATCCCAGCCTCTTTGCTGTAGGAATAGGTGTGTGAGTAGTGAAGGCTGCCTGGTGAACTCAGCACGTGTCTCTCCACCTGGGATGGAACGTGATTAGACATCTCTGGTCCACAGGGAGACAGTATGGTGGATGCTGCTTTCTGGGCTGGAATTCCTGATGTTGATGATGACGAGGTCGTGTGGAGAGAGTATCAAAACCTGGAGCAGGTGCTGCTGCTTAGCGGTGAACTGCCCTAAGAGCCATCTTGCCATTCTTATCTTTCATCTTCCTGCACAATATTTACATACTACCAGCTTGATACTAAAGGTTTTAATAAGCCTGTGTTTCTCACTGTGCACACTGCTGGTTTCTTTGCTCCCCCCTCCCCCACTTCCGCCCATGAAATAGAGATTTGTAATTTTGTTTTGGAACTTGTACCTTCTACTTTTGGTGTAAATGAGTTCTAAAATGTGAAATAGTACTGCGGTTGCATTGTTACAATTCATAGCCTGACCTCTCTGTTACACATGACGTCTCGTTTAACTCCAGTGTTTCAGCTTTGAACTGCAACTTTTTGTAGCCCATTCTGTGATGCACCTCTGCTTGACTCTGTATTTGCAAGTAGAATTAATTTGGCATCTTTACTATTAATGCTTTATTGAATCCTGATCATAGAGTCTCAATTATTTCTTAAACAGCAGGAAACTTTCAGAGTAACAGCTGTGTTTGGCCTAAAGTTTGAATTGGTTGTGGACTGTTACTGCTCAAATCCGAGTGTGGAGTAAGTGGTAGAGCCAGCAGGGCCCCCAGACTACTGCTCCGACTTGTGCTTCATTTCATAAATGCCTTTTAACTAGAGATAATTTAACTTGGTCTTACCAAAGCAGTGTAGAACTTTCTCTTCTGTGTTAATCTGTGATGATTTTCCTGCTTGTTGACCTCCTTCCTTTAAACGGGCATTCAGGGTGGTTGGCTTTTTTTGTTGAGGTTCCATGAGTAAGCAGCAGTGTGTATTTGCTTCTGCGCATTTTCATTACGCTGGTGTTAAGGAAGAGATGACTTTGTGTTCTTCCTGACGCAAGAATTCTCATACTGAAAAGAACAGTTGTTCAGTGATATGTTTGTTCACTCTATTCCCTACAACACTGTGACTCAAATGTACTGGTATTCACTTATTAACATTTTTAAGGTTGTGTGTGATTCCCCTGGAAGACTCTGATTGCAATCTCTGATTGTTTATCTCCGCTGCTAAAGGAACATTGTGTTAGAGAGCAAAATCAGAAAATTGGAAGCTATTTCAATTAGAGTAGTTTATTTTCTCTCTGCCACTCAGTGCCATCTCCATCAGCCCAAATGTTTCAGTAAACTTGCCTCGCGGGCCATTCCATGCATTTATTGCTAACTGAACAAGATGTGCCTTCTGGCATCTACTTGTTATTTTTTACATGCCTGTTGCATACCCCTTTGTTGTGCTAGCTTTACTGAACCGGACTGGCATTGTTTTCACTAGACATTTGATTATTATTATTTTTTTTTATTTTAATTTTTATTTATTATCAAAAGACATTTGGATATCCAGAATAAGTTTTTTAAAAGGTTAAACAGGCTTCCACAATGTAAAGCATGTTTTGTTAAAAATCTTACACAGTGCTAGCTCATAACTGAGTTGTACTTAGAACAGTAAGTATAAACAGCAAGCTTGCTGTAGTTTCATGATTATGCTGAGTAGAAGGTACTTAATTATAGTTGTTGGGTTTTGTTTCAAAAACTTGTTTCTTCTATATAAAAATGTATTGGAACTTCCTAAGTAACTGTTCTAATCCAGCTGGTCTGTAAGCTTCTAGTGAGTAAACTTTGTGCCTGTTGTAAGAAAGCTTACTTTTCCTGCATTGTTCTTTTTTTTTTTTTTTTTTTTTGTGTGAAAATAAGAGAATTGTCTGACAAATCTGCTTTGTTATCCATGAATATATGGAAATGGTCAGCATACTTGTAATTTAAGAAAAACTCACCTTTCTGTATATCTACAATAGATGTCAAGGTTTCCAGTTCACATAACCCATACAATTAGGGATGACTCCTGTTCTGAACATAGAGATTTTTTTCAAAACAATCCAGTTAATTTGTTTTGCATTACACCAATTCTGGAGTTTGTCACATGTTTTATCTTCTGTTCTTACATCATAACATTCGTCATTTCTTACAGCAGCTCTTCTCTCCATATAGACTGGGGTTTTTTTCTGTCCCAATGGTTTCAGCAATTCTTTATCTTAATTAATTTGGACGGATTGTTCTATAAATGATTAATTTCTAGAAAAGCATCTCTGTTCCGTTGTTTTAGTGGAATTCTGAGAGTCACATCCTATACATTTAGAGGGGATGTAGTAGTTGCTGACTGTTGAATTGTGAACTTTGTAGTTCTCTTTTCATTTAATACTTTGAAAAAAAAGTGGGAATTTAGCAGCTCACTAAGGCATTTCTCTTTTCTTTCTCGTGATACTGGATGTGAATTCAATTAAACTGTGTTGCCCCTGGCATCAGTGGCTGAAAATTTCTGTTTTTTAAAATTGATTTCTCCTGATGGTGGGTCTAATAACTACAGTTCTGCAGATGCCTACTCTGGCATGAGATTTTTAATTGATTAATTAATGGATTTGTTTAGAGTTAAGGTGCTTATCTATCTAGGCTTTCCTCCCCTTTCTCAAACTGATTGAGGATCTTTTTTGTTGTTGTTTGTCCTCTCCAAAGCAAGTAAATACAGTGTCAGAATAGTCTGTGCTGGACCTGCCCTTTCAAAGCTAAGCTCTAGCTTTTCTTTCCTTTTTTCATCAGGCATCCAAGTTTCACACTCCTGTTTCTTTACCTACACAGTGGAATCCTTTCTTACCGTATTCATCCTTTCTATTCTACCAACTTTTTCTCATCCCGTGTAGTGAATTGCTTTGTTTTTGTTTAACATGAGTCTTAATCTGTTGTTGCTTGACCACTCTTTTCAGTTACTCGCAATGACACGAAGTTTGGAAAGTAGCTAAACGCTTAGTAGCTGGGGGTTAACATGAAGCTTTAAGTGAGATACCCTCTTTGAAACTTGACCATTGTTGCTCATTTAGTGCTGAAGTGACTGAATCCTTCAGACTTGTCCTCAGTGTCAGCAGGTCAAGAGGAAAGGAGTGATGATTTCATGCATCTTTAATCAGTAGAGGCTGTGGAACATTATGGTAGCTGATGCTGTCTGTGCCTTATAGGTCTGGAGGGTCAAAAAACTTCTGTTGCTTTATCATTGCTCCAGAGGAAATTGTAGTTTTCTGGGTTCTGTGGGGTGTTTCCAGACTCTCTTCTGTCTGTGGGTGTTCCTGTTTTGCCTGTTCACTGATTCCTCTTTCTTGGCTTCTTTCCCACGACTCGTGAAGTTAAAACAGTAGAAAGGTTTTATCAATTCCTATTATTCAGTTCCTTGTAACTCTCCATGGAGACAGCTAAAACTGCTGAGAGTCATCCAGTTTAACTCTACAGGACCTTCCTAAGCTCAGTGTGAACTTTTACTTTTTTTGCTATCTTAACCCTGTGAACAGTAGTTCACTATCCTGGTGCACTGTACTATGATAATTGACCTTTTACTTTGGGGGTAACTCACAAGAGGAGATACGTTCTCATTGCTTTTTAAAAGAGAAAAATTACTATAATGTTTTAAAGGCACTAAGGTAACTTGTTTTTATTATTTATTTCTACTTATTAATTTAAACTTTCATTAATAACTATTCTTAAAACAAATTTTAAAATTCACAGATTGCCATCTCTCTCTAAGTATCAGGAAGGCTCTGGATCATCTTCAGCAAGGTAGGAATCAGTTCAGGTACTTTCAATCTTGCACAGAAGTTGCTGAGCAGATTCAAACATCATAAATAATAAATGAATACACGTGGCATCTTGTTATACAGTTTTACTGTTGCACCTAACTGCTGCTTTCAAAATGCTGCATGGGCATAACATTCCTGCTTTGTGGCTTTAATTGTTTTTGGTTTTGGTTTTTTTTTGGTAGAACAAAAAGTGAGAATTTTTCCGTGTTCTTTCTTTCATTAACGCCACTGTTTGTTTTGAGTCATTTCACTGTTGCTATTAGGTTTTCTGTTTAGACTTTGGGACAGAATTGGCCTAGACTGAAAATGTTATTTGTTCTCATCTCTCTTGAAGTTCTAATACCATTATTATTTAGGCCTTTTCCTGCTACTTTTTTTCAGCTGTTAACCACATTCTCATCAAACTGACTCAAAAATAAATTTGGTATACCCTCCATTGCTACAGAACTAGAGAGGATTTGCAGCCAGCCGCATAATAAAGCAATGTTGAAAATACTTTTTTTTTCCCTAGAGAAGGGGAGTTCCCTGACTTGACCAGCTACTAATTGGTATAAAGGTTTGTTTACTCAAAGGGGTTATTCCTAATTAGTTCTCTGTGTGGGTGCTGTACTCGAGAAATTAGAGTTTCATTCTGATTTAATTTAATCTGTCTTTATAATGAATTATAGTACTTTGTAGTGAGTTACTTATTTTGGGGGAAAAAAAAAAAATGCTACATCACTCCCTGAGCTTCAACAGGAAATTCTTTTTTGGAAAGTATTGAAACACACTTATGTTTTGAAATGAACAAATATCTATAGTTAGATTAGGTGTGATTGTAGCCATATCTTTATAAGTACAGCCACAGAAATGTAACCATGGAATTTTCCATACCAAAACTTAATTCAGCTGATTTATGGACCTGATGAACTTTACTTCTATTTTTCCACAGTCATTAGAATAGTGAACGAGAATATCTGTGAAGAAGAATGTTTGTGGAGCCATATTGGCAATGTTGAGGGCATGGTTGAAATGGAAGTTCACTTCCTGCCTTTAGCAGATTACTTTCTCTTAAGTTGGTTTCAACATTTTAGTTGGAGCAAACTTAAACTGCTGTAAATTATTTTATTTAAATAGTTGTAAAGTAATATAAGAGCCAGATCTTGGGAATAGTTGTCCCTGTAGTTCCTTATGAAGTATCTGGTCCGCTTGTGTTTTTCTCAGCTTCCTTCCCACACATTTTCAAAAGTAAATGATCACTGTTGATCATTTAAATTTCATTCTTTCTTTTGGAAATTTCAGAAGACTGGAAATTTCATTTATGAATTTAAATCACTTCAGGTTATCTTCTTTCAATGTAAATACTGCTCTAAATAAATATAGCCACAAATAAGTAAGCCATTATTTATTTAGTGTGTACGTATAGCTATACACTAAATAGCTGTTCTGGAAGTGTGTTATTTTCATTATTTCATTGTTATTTGTTTTAATTCTTAATGTAATGCATCACGGTACCAGTGAGCATTGTATTCCTGTGGTTGTACAATCTTGATAACTGCACGTTATAAAATGGAAAATAAATTGAATTTGTTCTGAAGAATTATATAGCATAAAAATTAAGTTAAATATCTGACCACTTCAACCCAGCAGGATTTTTTAATGGAATTACTTTATAGATTTGTGGATATTTCATATTTCATTTTTAAAATAATAATTTCAGTTTTCAATTGATAGAATGTGGTATATTTACTTCTAAAATAAAAAAAAAAAGGGGGGGGGTTTCTTTCTGAAGAGTGAGGGAAAAGCAGAGTTTTTTCACGTGTAATCTTGAATTTTTTTCATGACAGACAGGCGTTGAATGTTTTGCATCAACACTTTGGATTTTCGAATGTGAATTGGAACTACTTTATTTCCAGGTAAGATATAAGTAAGTGTTTGTGTAAAGTATCTCCTTTCTTTTACGCTGGTTGTAAGAAAGCTAAAGAATGCAATATGCTAAACTTTATTGTGTATGAAGTATTTGTCTTTGTGGAATGAGTCCGCTTTTACTTGAGATTAAATAAGAGATTATTTCTGATGAATTTTTATTTTCCTGTGACCAACTCTTCGTGGTCTGATCGTATATATGATTTAATTTTATGATTAAGTACATGCTTGGTAAGCTGATTGCTATTAAACATGATGGTTCAGTTCTGTCTGCCCCTTCTGTTGTATCATCACCTGTCCCCATCTGTGATGTTTGGCTTTAGGGAATTTGCTGATGAAAATCTGTGTGATTTTCAATGACTTCTAGAAGGATTCACTGAATCACGGAATTGTAGGGGTTAGAAGAGACCTCCTGCCATCATGTCCAACCTCCTTGATAAAGCAGGTTTCCTACAGCAGGTTACACAGGTAGGTGTCCAGAGAGGTCTGGAATGCATTCAGAGAAGGAGACTCCACAGCCTCTCCGGGCAGCCATCCTGTTCCAGTGCTCCATCACTCTGACAATAAAGAAGTTCTTCCTTATGCTAGTATGGAACTTCCTACATTCCACTTTCTGCATGTTGCCCTTCATTATATTATTGCATGCCCTGGAAAAGGGTCTGCCCTCATTAACTTGACTCCTGCACTTTAGGTATTTATGAACAGTTATGAGATCCTCTGTCAAGACTTCTCTTTTCCAGACTGAACAGTCCCAGGTCTCTTAGCCTTTCCTCACACAGAAGGTGCTACAGGCCCTTAATCATCTTTTTTGTCTTCCACTGGACTCCTCCTAGAAGATTTCTGTTTTTTTGAACTGAGGAGCCCAGATCAGTTTTCTCACAGCTTAGACTCTGAATCATCTCACAGTAGAATCAAACAAATACTGCTTTTGACACAGGGAAATCAGTACTAGTATTTGTGACATCAAACTGTTTTATTGGTTTTAATGTATCCTTCTTGCTTGCTTTCTGCTCAAAGAAGTATAATGCATGAGAAAAAAGAAGTTGTGAACAGCTGCAGTCTTAAGTAACTTGGGAGGAAGTACAGGATGATAGAGTAGAACTGAAAGGTTTTAATAGGTAGATGTAGTCATAAGTTATCAGAGAAGATTTTCTTCTTCGTAGTCAAATATTGCAAGTCATGCCAGTTTAGCTTATGAAGATCAGAATGGAAAGCTAAATGTAATGTTTCATGTATGGCCAAATCAGTGTCAGTCATGGTTTCTGCGCTCAAAGGCTACACGTTGCTGGAATCAGTTCTGTCAATTCTGACCCAACGCTCAGCTGTTTGCCAGCCTATTCTACGCTGTTGGGAAACATGAAGCAAACATATTTGTGCTGGGCTGCTGCAGTACGTAACACTTAAAAAGTTAAACTAATATCTTAAGTTATTAAAGAACATAAGGTCTCAAGAAATATTAATATTCGTCCAGTGGTTTTGGAGAAAAGGAAATTTTGCTGCCATTAATTCAGGAAGGGCTGCTGTGGGCAGATAACCACAAAGACTTCAATTTGTGGTAGGTAAAAGCAAGCCCAACCTGGCAGCAGTCTGACTGGCTTTTTATCAAAGCAGGTTTGCAGTACCCAAATGACCCCAGGGAATCAGTGGCAGTCTATCAAATTAAAGGTATTTGCTAATTATGTGGATGTTTGTTCAAAAGCAACAAAGCCACCTGCAGAGGAGCTTGGAAGGTTGAAAGATTCATTAATTTAAGGATCACAAAGGTTTCTATTGAAAGTGGAAGCAACGTATTTGAAAAACAGTGTTCCAGTTTTATTTCACTGGCTGGTTAAACAAACCCAGGTCTATGGATGTGAGACTGAATGGAGCAAGCCTGCCATCTTTGATAACCTCTGCACTGTAGGACATTATTCTTATCTACCTTGTAAATTAATTATATGATTCTTTAAAGGAATATAGACTAAATCAATGAAGTTGCTGCATTTTATTTTCACACTTTATTTTCTTCCTTAAATGGCCTTCCAGCCTTTTGTCTTGTTACAGTCCTGTAGAATTCAAAATAGAAATTATGCATAAGTCCTACCTGTTAAATGTTATGAAGATAATACTTCAAATATAATTTAGGGCCCATTCAGCTTCTTAAGTGAAGGAAGATCTTGCTGTGCTGGTGAGGACAGAGTCTCAAAAATGACTGCTCTTCATTGGCTTATCCATTCAACTGGAGAGGGACTGAGATAAGCTGAAGTATAGGGCAAGGAGATCTTAAAGACGGGAGAAGTAAAATGGAATGGAAGAATACAGGGAAAAATTCTAGGAATGCCAGAGAATACTGTAAAATAAAAAAAATAATGAGAAACAAGGAAGGTGAATTGAGGAAATACTGATTTACTAGATTTAATTCAGTCCACAGAAAGTTAACAGTTCTTACAGTGTAGTTCATAATTCTTTTAGTAGGAACTACCACTGGTAGATTTTTTTTAATTTTTTTTTTTTGTAATCTTTTTAAGCTGATAATTTTTTGAAGTCCTAATTTTTGGGTATTATAAGCCTTTTACAGATGTTGAGACAATTTTTTTTTTCAAAATTAATCCATTAAATATTCCTTTAATGACCTGAAAAATTGACTGTCAGGAAAGATAAAGACAAAATGCAGACTGTGGAAGTGTCTAAACACATTTCCCCAAAATAAATTTCTAAGAATGAAATATTAATATAACAACAACAAGCCCTAAAGCATTTCTAAATATTACTACACCAGAAGCTGTTTTTTGTGGTCATAGCTGCAAGCTGTTTGAGCTGTGTTGAAAGTCTTGCATGATAACATTTTCCACTTCTCTTAGCGCAGTCTTGTAGGCTTTTTAATATGAGCCATATCTCTTACAACTGTTTCAAAATGTATGGCATGAAATTGTTCTGATTTCCCATAATTTGAATTTCCTTATAAGATTTTGTGAAACTGTTCTCAGAAATGTTTTTGTGTGGAAATATTCATGTGTATCTATTAACATTTTTGAAATGACCTTGGGGGTCAAGAGAAATGTGGAATGGGAAGAGAATAAACTAGATTTTGATTTCCTGTTTTCTGAGAACACGCAGGAAAGTTTCTTAATTAAATAGTAATATAATAAATGTAAATTGATTATATTTTTCAGGTCTTTGGACAGTAGGAAAATTCCTAATAACCAGTTGACAAAAATTACATATGATTATTTTCTACCAAAACTGTTGCAAATTTTTAAGATGACAATAGTACAGGGAAAACACCTTCATAAATTTAATATAATTCAGGCAGTTGATTTAGATGCCTGTAGTGCCTTTTGAAGCTGTGTAAGCAGTCAGGATTGATTCATAGGTGCCAAAATAACCATCTAAACTGAATCTCTGGCATGAATTATTACTTCACAAGAATTGTGTTTTTAGTACCTCAACTATGGTAACTTTTTTGCTGACTTTTCAGGTACCATGATAGAAGGAGAACCTTAGTAGTAGGACTCTAGAATATCTTTTAGACATTATTCTAGAAGATAATTCAGTTTAGAAGCAAGATGATAAAGTTTCACGTCTGTTAGTTTGAAGTCTTTGACTATTTCTTACTATGCTTGTGGGATGTCTTGTTTTGTAATGCATCACATGGAACTATGTAACAAATAGTCTTCAGCTCAGATTACTTTAATTCATTATTGAATATTTGCAAATATAATGTATGAATATGTTTCATGGAGACATGAAGAAGTGTACTGTAGAAAATACAGTTCTTTGTCTTATGTATTTTGCCAGATGTGTTTTACAGAGAGATGAGTGCATCCATCACTTTCTCAGTTTGAAGCAGTTTTAGATTGGATTTCTGTCTGCAGTAACAGAGTGTGATTCAGTCAGAATCCAGAATTGAAATGGCTTCCCTGAATTCTGTATTCATACAGGATGATAGTGTCCTAGCAGTTGTTAATGATGTGTTCACTAATTTACAGTGATGAAACTTCTTGAAGTTTTTGAAGAGTATAATTTTTCAAACAGAACAAAGGCTGCACTTTCTATTTACTTTTTGAGAAACAGATTCCAGTTTTTCACCAACAGCAAACAGAAAGGTCATAATTCATTTAATAGAAACTGCTTCAAGGGATCTTTCTGATATATGTATTTTTTTTAAATTGCAAACATCTTTTTCTGCAGTGTTCACCTTCATTAACACAAGTTGCTGACTTCCTTCCTCAGCTACAGTTCTTCCTACACTCAGAGGTCAGAAAAGAGCAAGATCAACAAGCCACACATCTGGCTGTCTCTCTTTCCAACTGGAACAAAGAAACAATTTTTTTAAATGACTTTTTGAGTTAATTGTAAACAATTTGGTTTTGGAGTCTCTGACTTGCAGCAAATGTTTGTTGTAGGCGGATGTAGGGAAAAAGGACTATGTCCTAATGCAATTCCTTTGTGACCAGTGAGGAAAAAAATCACTTAAAAAAAAAAAATCTTATTCTAGCATTGAAGTATGCTCAGAATTTTGAGTGCATGTATAGGACATTTCTCAAGCTTAAAATTCATGCCTTGAAGTGAAAAGAGAAAGTAGATGCTTATTTCAATTTCCTATACTCTTTTGTACAGCTATACTGATTTTTTTTCATTTTATTTTCAGCAGTTGCATGTACAAACTGACAGTGATAAAAGAGTGGGGGCAAACAATAGAACAAACCTATTTTAAAATGAGAGTTCTGATCAAATGCATTTTTCTTGTTTTTATATTTCTAAATGCTTTTACTCTAATAAAACTTCTATTAAAAAAACTATATTTATTCTCATTTATCATTTAGTAACATTTTGAAACCTAACTCTTAAATAATTGCTAAAACATAACCACTGGAAAGTAAGAATGGTATTTATTATTTTTCACATACCTTTTAGCATCAGTTAATGTTAACTTATCTAGTCTATAAGATTTACTTTTAATAATTGTTTTATCTAAAAGTGAAGTAAACACCAGATGTGTCTTCTGGTG